AACATGATTAACCTTTAATCATTCCTTAATCAACATGATTAATCATAATTAATCATCCTTCAATTAGCATAACTAATCACTAATTACTAATTAATCAAGGTAGCTAACCTTAATTACTTACTAATCTTCAATCAAATAACATGATTAATCTTAGCTATCACTAAACCATAATTAATCAAGGTAATTAATTCTAATCTTCCTCAAATAAATAATTAACTAAAAATAATTAATACTTAGGGAGATAAACATACCTTAATTAGCTCTTAATCGGCGATTAGAGGTGTCTAACTTTGCTTTCTCCCTTTCTCTCTCTTCTTTCTTCCTTTCTCTCTCCTAGAACTCAAGAACACAACATTCCCTCACCAAGCAACCATCTTGGCCGAAATGTTCATGAGATGGGGGGTATTTATAGGCTTTGATTTTTCAAAATTCCAAGAATGCCCTTCGGGAAAAAGATGCGATTTCGGCCGTCCATTTTTCTTTCACTTTACACTTGGACAAATCCTAGAGCACACACCACAAGAAATTGACACATGGATGGACACCTATTCACCATGTGATTTTCATGTGGTAATAAAATATTATTTTAATGTTTTGTCTCTTATTTCCCTTTATGCCCTTGAACAATTTGGAAAATTCCAACTTTGTCCTCCCCTTTAATTTGGCCAAAATATTACTCTAAAAATTGGGAGAAAAATGACTCATCCAATATTCAGTACAATCTACTGATTATTTGTGTATTTTCGGTCCGATTTTCCAACAATCCTGTCCAATTTATTGTCACAAAATTTTGATTTCAACACCTCCTTAAATTCCTCTCATTCCAAGGATATTCCATGATTTTTCTCAAGTTTTACCTCCCTCTATAATTTTCTAAATTTTATTCCATCAAAAATCAATATTCTAGCGATAATAATTCGGTAATAAATATTCTTTAAGCTAACCTCTGTACATCCAAAGGTGGGAAGTAATTTTATAAATTAGGATAATATGTTACATAATTTATCCCTATTTTTCCTTGAATTTTTGAGGCCTCCATATATTTTAAATAATGGAAATTGGCTAATTTTCCTTAATTAACCAAAAATTCCAATAATTACAAATAATTCCCTGATAAATTATTTTTTATCCTATATTCATCTTCTAAGCCTTAAACATTATTCTGTACCCTCCTTTCTATTTGTCATGATTTTCTGGGAATTTTCAGGAATTTCGGACATTATTTCCAATACTGCCCTTTCTTGACCGATCTTTTCAAAAATGACCGTTATGTCCCTATCCTGATTTTTCCTCATAGCCTGGATCATCTCCAGTCTACTATACTATTTGACCTTAGTCAGTCTCAAATCATTCATCAATTAGGATAAAATTATCAGGGTGTGACAACAACCAATGGAATCCTCTGTCCTTTAGTGATAGAAACCGTTTTCCTAACTGTACAAGTGCAACCAATTGCCTTCACAGTCTAGAAAAGAAATTCCAATAATTTGCTGGAAGCAATTCAATATTAGTTCAACACCTGAAAAGAAACCTGTTCCAGATCGAAAAGGAGAGAGTAATTTGAAACAAACTACTTTAGACAAATTCTTTTCAGTACAATCTAAGGACAATTCAAGTGTTTCTTGTTGTATTGCTGATATAGGGAACATCTCATGAAATCTGGAAGATGTCAAGATGCTAGAGTTTGTGATGGAAATTCTAGACAATCAGCAAGCTGGAAACTCCATAAACAAAGCAACTACAGACTCAGTCAGTTGATAACTCTTTGGGGATCACGAATATTAAGACTATTGGTGTGATACTTCAACTAGCTTATAAAAGCACTAGGAAACCGTATGGGTTTTTGGAAGACATTCTGGTCAGGGTTAAAGGTCTAGTAATTCCAACAGATTTTTATGTGTTAGATATGTCCAATGAATCATGCCTTGAAGAACCTTTGATACTAGGTAGACCATTTCTAAGAACTGCAAATACTGTAATTAGCTTGAAAGATGGTTTTATCACAATGGAGGTTGGTGATCAGGTTGTGCGATTCAAAGTTTATGAAGCCATGAAACACCCATTTGAAGATTGCTCTCTGTTGGGATTGAATATGATCGATACTGCCATTGATCATGCTATAGAAGAACATGGACTAACTTTAAAAAAATATTTTGAAGATTATGAGGAAAATTCTAACTTGTACCTCATTGACTCTGCTTCTTCTTCACCCCATCCAAATTCTTCCCTTCCTTTTAGCTTAGGGAGTGATGTGTGTAGTATTAAGTGCCTGTTATTTGATAGCTCACTTTCCACCTCTACTGCTTGTTATTTTTATTTTTCAGATTCTAGGATAACTCTAATTCTTCATTTTCTAGCCATAATGCGCTTGGAAAGGATATCTTGTGTAGTTTTGCAGAAATACAGGACTTGTTCACTGCTGTCTCTAAGGTTGACGATAAAGCTCCATTTATAAGCTATACAAGTGCAACCAATTGCCTTCACAATCCAGAAAAGAAATTTCAACAGTTGGCTGGAAGCAATTCAACATTACTGCATGGATCTGAAAATAGAAGTTCAACACCTGAAAAGAAACCTGTTCTAGGTCTAAAAAAAAGGGAGTAATTTGAAACAAACTACTTTAGACAAATTCTTTTCAGTGCATCTAAGGACAATTCAAGTGTTTCTTGTTGTATTGCTGACACAAGGAACATTTTGTGAAATATGGAAGATGTCAAGATACTAGAGTCTGCGATGGAAACTCTGGACAATTAGCAAGCTAGAAACCCCAGAAACAAAGCAACTACAGAGACAAGGAAGTTTCTTGGAGCCCTTGAACTTAAAACACTTATTCCATCTATTGAACAACCCCCTGATCTTGAGCTAAAACTGCTGCCTAGCGACTTGAAATATGCCTTTTTGGAAGAACATGACAAATTACCTATTATAATTGCTAGTTCCTTCTCTAAATTTGAGGAAGATAGATTGCTTTCTGTTTTAAAAAAGTATAAAAAAGCAATTGGCTAGACTTTGGTTGACATACCTGGCATTAATCCTATTGTTTGCACACACAAAATTTTGTTAAATGAAAATGCAAAAGCAATAAGACAGCCACAAAGAAGACTCAACATATTGATCTTAGATGTAGCTAACAAGGAGGTGACTAAACTCTTGAGTGCTGGTATAATTTTTCCAATTAGTGATAGTGAATGGGTTTCACCAGTCCAAGCGGTACCAAAAAAAAAGTGGCATTACAGTTGTAAAGAATGAACAAAATGAGCTAATACCAACTAGAGTACAAAATGCATGGATAGTGTGTATTGATTACAGAACATTAAATGACGCAACAAGAAAAGACCACTTTCCCCTTCCTTTTATAGATCAAAGGTTGGAAAGGTTAGCTTGCAAGTCTCACTACTGTTTCTTAGATGGCTTTAGTGGCTACTTTCAGGTTCCCATAACACCAGAGGACCAAGATAAGACTACATTTACTTGCCCCTTTAGAACTTTTGCAAATAGAAGAATGCCATTTGGTCTATGCAACACCCCTGCCATATTTTAAAGGTGTATGACTTCTATTTTTAGTGAACTCTTAGAACAAGGTGTTGAAGTCTTTATGGATGATTTTACAATTTATGGTGACTGTTTTGATGACTGTTTGTTAACTTTGGAAAAGCCTTTAGCTAAATGTGTGGACAAAAACTTAATCCTTAATTTTGAGAAATGTCATTTCATGGTGGCTAAGGGTATTGTATTGGGTTACTTAATTTCATAGCAAGGAATTGAAGTTGATAAGGCCAAGATTAAGGTAATCTCTTCTCTACCTTACCCTGCCATCATCAAAGAGCTAAGATCCTTTCTAGGACATGCTAGCTTCTATAGGCGGTTTATTCAAAATTTTAGTCAGATTGCATTACCCCTTTCTCACTTACTGCAAAAGGATACTGACTTTACCTTTGATGATGATTGCAGGACTACATTCGATGAATTAAAAACCACGCTCATATCTCCACCTATCTTAGCTTCTCCTTATTAGACTTTAGACTTTGAATTATCTTGTGATTCCTCAAATTCTGCTGTGGGTGTAATGTTGAGTCAAAGGGTAGAGAAGTTGTCTAAGGTCATTGCTTATGCATCTAAGACATTGGATAAGGCACAAACTAACTATACAACCACAAAAAGAGGGCTTTATGCCATTGTCTTTGGTCTGGACAAGTTTAGATAGTATTTGTTACATTCTAAAGTCATCTGTTTTACTGATCATACAACTATACAATTCCTGTTTAAAAAAACCCCAATCAAAACCGAGATTACTTAGGTGGATGCTATTAATACAAGAATTTTATATTGAAATTAAAGACAAGGCAAGGGCTAAAAATTTATATGCAGATCACTTAAGTAGATTACCTGATGATGTTAAGGGAATAGATGATTCTGCATTGATTTGTGATGATTTTCCAGATAACATGCTTTGTGCTATTAATATTAAAGAACCCTGGTTTTCACATTGGGTGAACTAGTTAGTTGCTAATGTAGTGCCTCCATTCATGAATCAATTCCAGACTCAAAAGCTAAAAAGGGAAGTGCAGTATTATGTATGGGACATTCCCCATTTATGGCGCATGTTGGTGAATTCCATATTCCCTCTATCTTAGAATTCTGTCATTCTATGCATTGTGGTGGGCATTTTAGTGTTTAAAAAACTTGAAGAAAAATTTTAGACTCGGGATTTTATTGCCCTACTTTATTCAAAGATGCTTATGAATTCTATAAAAACTATGAGATGTACCAGAAATTTGGTGGCTTATCTAAAAGACAAGAAATGCCTCAACAACCCATGTTATTTTGTGAAGTATTTGATGTATGGGCATTAATTTCATGGGGCCATTCCCTCCATCCTATGGTTTTGTATATATATTGTTGGCTGTTGATTATTTGTCTTGTTAGGTTGAAGCTGTTGCTACTAGGAAAAATGATGTGCAAACAGTAATTAAATTTCTGAAATCTCACATATTTTGCAGGTTTGGAGTACCTAGAGCCTTGGTAAGTGATCATGGGACACACTTTGCCAATAAGATGATGGATAGTCTGCTGTCAAAACATGGTATAACTCACAAGATGGCAACACCATATCATCCCCAGGCTAATGGTGCAGCTGAGGTATCTAATAGGGAAGTTCAAGGTATTTTGCAAAAAATTGTTAAGCCTAATAGGAAGGATTGGAGCCTTAGGTTAGATAAAGCCTTATGGGCATACAGGACAGCTTATAAAGCTCTAATTAGCATGTCACCATTTAGGATATTCTTTGGAAAGGCTTGTCACCTTCCTGTGGAAATTGAACATAGAGCTTATTGTGCTGTAAAAACATGTAATTTGAACTTAGAAGATGTAGCTGAGGAGAGGAAATTATAGTTACAGGAATTAAAGAAACTACACCTAGAAGCTTATGAAAATTCACGTTTATATAAAGAAAAAACAAAGGTTTTGCATGGCAAAGGGCTATTGAGAAAGGTTTTTCAGGAGGGTGACCAGGTACTTCTTTATAAAGCTAGATTTACCTTCAAGCAAGGGAAGCTACATATAAGATTGGATAGACCTTTTGCGGTGATTAAAGTCCATGGCTTTGGAATGATCAAAATTGTGGATGAGCAAACTGGGGCAATTCACAAAGTTAATGGGCACTGCTGAAGCATTATCATGCTAGTCACAAACTGCCTTGACTACATTGGTTGTCTCTTTTCCCCACTCTTTTTAATTCTTGCATTACTGATCATACTGTCTGACTTTCATACATTCTAAAAGACAAGTGTTGGGGAATTGAGACTTGTTCCAGTAGTTATATAATAGGTATACATAGTTTTTCTTTCACTGGCTGATCACTTAATCACACATGTGGATCACATCCTTGTTTCAGTATGTCCTGTTTTGCTGTAAAGAGAGAGAGAGAGAGAGAGATCTTTGCCTCAGCTTCAGAACTTTACAACATTGAGAACAGTGTTTGTTCCCAGTGTGGGGGGAATGCACAATTTTCTAACTGTTTTCCTTACTGTCATGGAATTTAATTGAACCTTGAACATATTCTTTTGAATACTATTAAAGCTTGTTCAAGTTTGTATTGCTTGTTTAATCAATTAATTCTAGAAAATGTGCATCATGAATTAATTTTTTCATGCATTAAGTTCAATCCTCATACAATTCATCCTTGGTGAGTGGATGAAGATGAGTAAACCAGTTGGAAGAAATTTTAGACCTTAATTCATTTCTAAATTGTGTGTGATGCCATCTAGTTTGGTAACTTCCTAGAACTTGTCTCAATCCTTATTCAAGACCACATGAGCTCTTGGAATTGTGAATATGACAGGGGCATTTTATTCAAATCCTTCTGACCTAAACAGCAACCCATACACATTAAACCTATTGCTTAAACCCTTTGAGCCCTTCACTATTCTTTCAACTCCATCTGTGATTGATGAAACCTGCACATAAGTGAGTAAAGGATTTGCAATAGAATGAGCTGAATTGAATCCAAGTTTGTCGTTTTCCCTTTTTATGGTTGTATATTCGTTGATACTGATCTGTGCATGACTGGGAATGATTATGATCCCTTTTACTCTTGCTACTAGATTGCTACCATATAAAAAAAAAAGGAGAGAAAAAGAAAGGATCCTGAAATGACAAAAAAAAATAGAACTAAAAAAAAAGTGGTGGACAAATAAAAGTTGATCGAGTGGCTAGAGTGAAGGAGTCCTTTCATATTAATTTTTTATATTCATTTAGCCGTATTGAACAATAAACCTGATTTGTGTATGAGCTCCTGAGCCTTTTATAGAATTAGGATGCATGTGCAGTGTTCTATTGATCATTGTTATTCACTTCTATTTCTTCCTTTGGCCTTTTCAACATTATAACCCTTGCAAAGACCCTTTGATTCATAAGACCTAGTAGCATATAAGTGGTGGAGATGTAGAATGGTTACAAGCCTATAGTGAAGCCTAACTGGATGGTCTTGAGAGAAATAACGTTCATAAATGAGAGTGAGAGAAACACTTAACCTTTTGAGGAATCTCATCTTCTAGTTGCTTTCCTTGGTTGAATTGCATGATTACGATTAGTCTTTTAGAATGGGATTATCTTGGATTGATGGCATTTGAAGGGATGACTGATAAACACTAGTAATTCATTCCTGAGCATGATTTTGCATTCTTCACTAACAATGTGCTTAAGAGTCAATCTTATCCTATTGTTTTGCCTGGAGTGCAAAAAGTTCAAGTAGGGGAATTTGATAAACCATATTTTTAGTATAGTTAGATGGTGCATTTTGGGTTATTTTAGGGAGTTAATTGACCAAATATTTGCATTATTGATTATATATTGTGATAATGCACTTGGCAAGGAAATCTGGGCAATTATGAATTTTTACTGGAGTTTTAATAAATTTTTCAGAACAGGAAATATTTCTAGGATTTTCTTCAATTATAGGGGGTGGAATGGTAATTCTCTTGTAGCTGGAGTATAAGTCCTTTCCAAGGAAAAGTTAAGTCCAGAGGAAAAGGGATTCCATTACTTTGCGACAACGGTTTCCATCACCAAAGGACAGAGGATTCTATCAGTTGTTAAGCTCCAAAAACAAAATTTAGAACTTGTTGAGGGGGAAATGAAAAATCCTGAAAAAAGACATAATGGAGGAGTATGGTATGATCAAGACCAAGGGCAAGAAGTCCAAACAAAGAAGTCCAACATTCCAACCAACATTCCAAAAGATCCATTACAAGGCATTAGAGGCCCAATGATAAGAGCAAGGACCAAAGCTATGAAGGAGGCCCTGAATTGTCTAATAAGAGAGCTAAAAGAGTTAGAGCCCATTTATTTGGATAAAGCACATTTTAGTGAGCCTAAAAAGAGTCCAAAAATGGTGATCACATTGCTAGAAGCCCAATAAGATGATGTATAAGGCCTATGTGGGGTTCAAATTAAAGAATTCACTTAAAATACCATGTGACAAGCATATGCCTTAGACAAGGATCATAAGTGACATCTAAACATCTTCAAGAAGGCATCATTGTGAATTATGATTTAAATTTGTTTTTTTAGTCAAGGAGTGTTCTAGAAAATCATGTTTTGATCTACTTTCCTATTTTTAAATAACAGACTTGTTCTTGAAGTTTAAGTTATTTTCTTTTATTTCTATATAATAAATGGTGTCTCTCATAGTTAAATAATCATTAATGAGGCATCATCCCCAGCATTTATGTCTTAGGATGCTGATTCTAGATTGTTCTATTATTGCCTATATATAGGCTACATTTTTTGTAATTGAATTCAGACTTAAATAGATGAGAATTGAGTTTATTTTTTTGCTGTGTGAGCTTTGCTTGCATCCTTGTATTCTCGTGAGAATACTCGATAGTATTAAGGGATTGATCAACCTTGAGGTGTCTTCATGGCTAGGGTTGTAAGAGACAGGTTCTCTTAAGGTCCTACCTAGATCAACTGTTTGTTTGTTACTTGATTCTAGTCGGTCCATACATCCCCCCATATCAAGACGTTAGCAGAGGAGAACCAAATTAGTTATGGGGAGCTCCACGTCACAGGTGTAATCCAGCTAGAGCAAAGGAAGGTAAAGGACGGCAGTCTAGAGGAGACGGGGATTCATAGAGGACTAGGAGAAAAACAGGAAAAAAAAAAACCTCACCTTCATTTTTCACCTTCAGATATTCTCTCTGTTCTCCTGTTCTTACCTAATCTAAATTCATCTCTATTCTCTTAAGAAGACGCCATGACTGATTGAATGAAGAAGCCTCGTGGAGCAGGGCAAAGGATTACGAGTGGCTGATTCTATTGTTCTTCCAAGAGTAGACACCACTCCTGAACTATTGAATTAACAATGAGTTTATGTTCATTTCATCTCTTCCATTCTCAATTTCTGAACTAGTTGTAAAGTATTTGAGAATTGTTTACAGACGTGCTCTGTTTCATCTATATAAATAAACATTGTGTGCTTGGAATTTATAGGAGGCTGAGTATTTCATTCTGATTTTGTGCAAATCCTTCCACACTATCTTGATTCAATGAGTCAGGTGATTGTGATTCAATTGACCAATTCAATCGAACAGGAGTTCTATTTGTCCTATAATGATTAGATCTTGTAATTCTCCGATTGCATTTTAGAACTCCAGATTTTTAGGAAGTGATGATAGTAAGGTAAAAGCTCTTGGAAGGATTGCTTTTAACTGTAATATTTTTATTATCTCTATTCTTAGCTTCAATCCCTCCGTGTTCATCTAGTTCCTCTATCAGATACGATCTAAGAAGATCAAATAAACAAGTTAATCATATAAACACATTTCGTCCAAACTCTTTTTGTTTAAATTGATCATTATCTTCATTAATTTGGATTAGCTAGAGACCAAGAGATTAACACTAGAGTTGCTTCCATTGAAATAGTTCAAGCTTGATTGCCTTAACAACTGGGTAAATCAGATCCATTAAGGGATGTCCAAGCTTTATTTTGGTTAGATTTAAGGGTTGTTTTGATTGAAATTTCATGACAAAACCTAAATTCTATGTTGTCTGATTTTTGGTCACCATGAGAAGAATTAAAGAAGGATAGAAACCATGAATATGAGCTTGGAATAGCATGTTTAATTGATGTTGGGATTGAATTTTGGAAGAAAACCAAAGTTAGGGTTTTATACATCCTATTTGACCACTATGGAATTTTGAGGTTAGAGATTGTTTTAATATGATTTGATGATTCCAATGAGTTTAAAAGGTATTTTTGTGTAGAAAAAACTAAGGAAAAGTGTTTAAAATCATTGGAATCAAAAATGAAAATTTTGAAATCCAAGGCCCTCCTATTCGGCCAAATCAGTTTGAAGGAGGAGTGTGATTTTATTAAATTTGATTTGATATTTGGATTCTACATGAAAAATTGTGTGGGTATGACCCAAGAGATTGATTAAAATAAAGAGAAAATAATTATGTCAAAAATCAAGGAAAAAGAGGTTTATTTGAACTTAATGTTAAGTATTAGTGTTTATGCTTGGATTATTGGTAATTTTAGAATGTGTTTATGCTTGAATTGATAGGCATTGTGCAAGGAAATAAAGAGGAGCACCAATTTTCTAAGGAGGCTGAATTGTATAGTTAATCAAGAGGTAGCTTTGAACTCATAATTTGAATGCTTTCTTCCTTATTTAAATGTGCGTGTGTTATTTGATTTATGTTGCCATGACGTAATTGAGCAAAGCATATGATTTTGTATGAAATGCTATGTCCAATATGCCTTGGTATTATGTTATGTAGAATGATTTATGGCTATGTGGCTTTCTTTCCATGGCAATAAAAGCTTGTAAAAGCTTGTATAGGTTTATGCTAGTTTTATGACAACATGTCACATTTTTACATATAAT